CTAAATCTACCCTCTGCCAGCTTGTGACCATTATTCCTGGTCACTCCCGGCAGTGCTCGGGGGAACAGGGACTTCCCCAGTGCCTGCTGGTCCCCCCTGACCTTACTTGGAGGCTGGGATGGAAATAGCTCAGTCAGGGATAAGCCTGATCCTGCCTTGTCTGCTTAACTTGTCTGCTTATTTTCTTCATGCCTCACATCACCCTTCAAAGAATCTGACATAACTGTGGTTGAGAATCACTGGTCTAGTGATTCCCAATAACGTGGGAACAATCAGGGTTAAATGGCTCCCAGGAGAGTTTTTCCTGGGAGAGAGAACTTCAGTATACATATCTTCTGAGAAAAGCTGCAGCACAGTCCTCCAGCATCCCAGCATGCTTTGCTGTCAGGTCCACCATAGGTCCAAAGAGACAGCATGTCACTCAAGCTGAACTCCATCTTGGGCTCAAATTCTCAACTGATGTTTAAACTGCTTCCGAAAGGCATGCCTTCACCTACGTACTCCCACTCTCCATATGCCAAACTCAGAAATTAGGCAGAGAAACTACCCTGGGGGGGCACTGCCAAAGTGTAAGTCTTCAGCTCTCTCATCTGCAACATGCTTGAGAACTGTGAATAGCTTTACTTTTTCAATTCCACATATGGAGAGGGAGAGGATGGGTGCAGCATGCTTGGTAGTCACTCAAGAGTGTTGCAGAAACACTATAGAAATATCCTAGTACAACTCACTTGTCTCTCAGCCTACACGCTGGAGTCTATGTCAAATTTCAGCTTATGCTCTATTTATCCATATCTCTGAAGTATGTGCTTATATTTTATATCAGTCCTGCTGGCCAGTTTTCCCCCCTTTCTTATACTAAGGATATTCAGCGATACACTGGAATCAAACCCATGGCTGGCCCTGCCCCAAGCAATAACATCACTTATTCTGTGGGTTTCTGATCAACAAACTGTATTTGCTCACAGGCCTCAGAATGGTTTTACCATACATCTGCCATAAATACACAAAAATTAGCAACTAATGTTGCTAATGGTCAGTGCTGCTGGGACTACAATCCTGCTGGAACTGAACTGGTTGTTGGTCCAACATCATAGATGCAAAAATGGCAGCTGATCCTTTGATAGCCTTTCTCTGCAGTGCTTTTATATTTTACAGCCTTGGGATCAGCTAAGTCACACGACAAGCACCCTCCTCTTCACGTAAAGGCTCTATGTCTTCTGTCAGTTGCACGTATGTTTGATTTTTCTTTCAAGGGTAGCTGCAGCATTGGAACATAAAATAGTTCTATTTCCCACACCCTTTACACCATGGCCCATAGATTGGGCACTTTTCTTTCAGCTTTTTATGCTGCTTTAAACTGTAGTCACACTAGACCACAATGTCAATCTCTCTCTCTTCTATTCTGTTTCCTGGGCTCCTTTAAATTGAGCCTGTGCATTTGTTCTGCACTACTGGCTATTATTATTTTGTTCCTTTCCCTGGACAGATCAGCTGCTCTTGTTCTTGGAGGCAATCTCTACAGTTAGATCTATTTCTCTCAATAGTTTTTCCTGCAAGGGGGAATTGTGTGTCCCACTAATAATACCATCATTAATCAAGGAATCTTTAAAGTGTCCAGAGTTTCATGTGAATGCCAGATTTCTCAGCAATGGAACAGATATCTATTTCCATTTCTGTTTCTTGGTTTTGAGTTCTTTAAAAAAACGGAAAAACTCTCTCTCCACAATCTCATTCTGTCAAGGGTCACATTTGGGGTCATGATATTCATCAAACACCGTTATCAGATTTTCCTGTTTCAGGCAATATTCCTGGCAACTGTCTCACTCATTTCTCATCCTTTTTCCCCCAGGGAGATAGAAAAAAGACATTACCTTCATTTTTATCTCCCCTGGTAAGGTCTCTTTTTTGCACTACTTCCATGCTTGTACAAGTTTTATTTCTGGAAAACCAGCATTCCTGGAAACCTGAGACCCTGAAGGATGACAGCACTGTTTCTTGTCTGGGAATAATTTTGTGAATATCACGTTCTTCCGCAGTGTGAGTCTCACTGGCCTTATTGCTGCCACCATGTTTCCTGTACACTGTGGTGGGTAGTCACATGAGAGCTGTCTTTAAAACTAAACTGGTTCTTTAATAAGAAAACTATTCTGAAAAAAAAGAATGAAACTGCAGTTCATGTTCAAGCCTTGTGCACACAAACTGACTTCCTGCAGCTCTTCCAAATATTTCCCACCTAAAATCTGTGCTCCTCCTCCCAAGTTCCATACAGATGGCTATACTGAGGTATCTTTATTTACCACCTCAGAGTAGGAAATTATTCAGTTGCAGCAAAAGAATTCAGCTGTTAAGCACCCATCAGGAGTGGTGGAAACTGTTTTTTCCAATGAAGTTTTATTATCCAGATCACTGTAATGTCTGGGTATTAGAATCACAGAATCTATAAATAGACAATTAGGGTGGGAAGGAACTTCAGGAGGTCATCTAGTCCAACCTCGTGCTCAAAGCAGGACCATCTCCAACTTTATCATCCCAGCCAAGGCTGTGTCTAGCTGGGTCTTAAAAACCCCCAGGGTCAAAGATTCCACAACTTCTCTGGGTAGTCTGTTCCAGTGCTTCACTACCCTTTTAGTGAGAGATTTTTTTCTAATACCCAACCTAAACTTCCCTTGCTGCAGCTTAAGACCATTGCTCCTTGTTCTGTCATCTGCCACCACTGAGAACAGTCTAGCTCCTCTTTGGAACCACCATACAGGTAATTGAAGGCTGTTATTAAATCCCCTCTAGTGTTCTCTAGACTAAACAAGCTCAGTTCCCTCAGCCTCTCATCATACATCATGTGCCCCAGTGCTCTAACCATTTTTATTGCCCTCCACTGCACTCTCTCCAATTTGTCTACATCCTTTCTGTAGTGGGGGGCCCAAAACAACTCCAGTACTCCAGATGTGGCCTCACCAGTGCTGAATAGAGGGGAATATTGGCTTCTCTTGATCTGCTGGCAGCGCTCCTATCAATGCAGCTCAGTATGCTGTTAGCCTTCTTCATAACAAGGGCACACTCTTGGCTCATATTCAGTGTATTGTCCACTGCAACTTCCAGGTCCTTTTCTGCAGAGCTGCTGCTTAGCCAATCAGTCCCCGGCCTGTACCGGTGCACGGGATTGTTCCATTCTAAGTGCAGGACTTTCCTTATTGAATTTCATGAGATTTTTTTGGTCCAAGCCTTCAATTTACTTAGGTCTCTCTGAATCCTAACCCTACCCTCCAGGGTTTCTACTACTCGCCCCAGCTCGGTGTCATCTGCAAACTTGCTGATGACCCACTGCATCCCATCTTCCAGGTCATTCATGAAGACACTGAACAAAACTGTCCCCAGACCAAACCCTGGGGCATTCCACTTGATTCCAGCTGCCAACTACATTGAGCCACTGATTACTACCCTACGAGCCTGAGAAGCCAGTCAACTTCTAATCCACCTTACAGTCCATTCATCCAACCCATACTTCCTTAGCTTGCTTGTGAGAATGTTGTGGGAGACTGTATCCATACCCTTGATGAAGTCAAGGTATATCACATCCATTGCTCTTCCCACATCCACAGAGCCAGTCATCTCATCATAGAAGACAGTCAGGTTGGTCAAGCATGATTTGCCATTGGTGAATCCATGCTAACTTCCTAATCACCTTCTTCTCCTCCAAGTGCTTAGAAACAGATCCCTTGAGGATCTGCTCCATGATTTTTCCAGGGGCTAAGATGAGACTGACTGGTCTGTAGTTCCCTGGATCCTCCTTCTTCCCTTTCTTAAAGATGGGCACTATATTTGCCCTTTTCTAATCTTCCAGGACCTCTTGTAATCGCCTCAAGTTCTCAAAGATAATGGCCAGAACCTCTGCAATCACATCAGCCAACTCCCTCAGCACTCTCAGGTGCATTACGTATGGCTGCATGGACTTGTACAGGCCCACATGTTCCCTGATCTTCCTCTTGTTGCTGACATACTTGTAGAAACCCTTCTTGTTACCCTTCACTTCCCTTGCTGGCTGCAATTCCAACTGTGCTTTGGCCTTCCTGATTTCATCCTTGCATGCCCAAGTGATACTCTTATAGTCCTCCCTAGTCACTTGACCAAGTTTCCACTTCTTGTAAACTTCCTTTTTGTATTTTAGCTCATTGCAAAGTTCCCTGCTAAGCCAAGCTGGTCCTCTGCCATACTTGCTAGTCTTCCTGTGCATTGGGATGGTTTGTTCCTGCGACATCAATAAGGTTTCTTTAAAATACATCCAGCTGTCCTGCATTCCTTTCCCCCTCAGCCTGGCCTCCCAGGGATCCTGCCCATCAGTTCCCTGATTGAGTCAAAGTCTGCTTTTCTGAAGTGTTGGGCTTTACTCTGCTGCTCTCCTACTTTCCTTAGGATACTAAACTCAGTTATTTCATGGTGTTGCTGCCCAAGTTGCCATCCATTTCTACATTCCCCACTAATTCTTCCCTGTTTGTGAGCAGCAGATGAAACAGAACACAGCCCCAACTGGCATCTCCAACACTTGCACCAGGAACTCTCCAAAAACTTCCTGGATTCCCTGTGCACTGTTGTATTGTTCTCCCAACATATGTCAGGGTGAATGAAGTCCCCCATGAGAATGAAGACCTGTGACCAGGAAACTTCCCCTCTCTGTTTGAAGAAAGCCTCATCTACCTCATCCTCCTGGTCTTATGGTCTGTAACAGAAACCCACCATGACATGCTTCTTGTTGCTCTCCCCTCTGGCTCTAACTCAGACTTTCAACAGGTCTATTTCCAGTTTCATACTGTAACTCTGAGCAATCATACAGCTCTTTAGATAAAGTGCAACTCCTCCTCTTCTCCCCTGCCTGTCCTTCCTAAAAACAGGTTGTACCCATCCATGACAGTGCTCCAGTCATGAGAGCTATCCCACCAAGTCTCTGTTATTCCAGTCATGTCATAGTTCCACAACTGTGCAAGGATTCCAAGTCTCCCTGCTTTTCCAGGCTCTGTGCATTCACGTATAGGCACCAGAGGTAACTAGCCAATTCTCATAAGCAAGACTTAATCTGTATTATGCAAAGTCTTTTTAAAAAGGGAGACTTATATTTGGATAATTGCACCTTTAGAAATATACTGAGGCAAATTTTGAAACTGTCCACCCACACTGCAGGTATATTCAGATGTAATAATTATTTTTGAATAAATAATGAACTTTTCCAATATACCACACAAGGTGGTACCTCTCAGTTCTGTCAGAGTGACAGCCATATTCCACCCCAAAAATATCTGAGGCTAATAAATTAGAATGTCATTTCCCACTGGAGTCAAATTAAATCATGCATAGGTATTGTAATTTACTGAATTACCAGGTGCCCATTTATAAGCAGATTGATTGGGGGGCAGCCTTTAGCATCCACCCAGAGTGAGGCTCAGATTTATGCTTCTAGAGCAGTGGTTCTCAACCTTTTTAAACTCAAGGCATCCCTTGTTAAACTGAAGCAGTGGCATAACTAGGACAAGGGGACAAGGCAGCTGCCCCAGGTTCCAACTGGGGGGTGGGGACACTGCAGCTGCATGATCATGCTTGCTGCCCTGGGCACCCAGCTGTGTCATTATGCCTCTGGGCACCCCTTGGAAAATAGCAGCTGTTAGATATCACTCATTTCTTGACTACAGAAAAGTAATAGAACAATCTTCCTCTGCAAAAAGGGGGAAAGCAGATGAAAGTTCATTTTATGATCAAAAACTGTAATTGGTTTATCTAGATTTAGATAAAGAATACATTTTAAAGTGTGTTAGCTAAAAAAAAACTATGACATTTTAAAACTCTAACTTACATACTTGCAACATGCTAGCTAATAGAAATGAACTTTGCACTCAACCAGAGTTCAGCTCTAGCAGATAATACAAGGCAAAATACAACCTGTCCTGTCTATGATAGGGTTTTAAAATATGTTAAGTAGAAAGTATTAGATAACAAATTTTAAAAATAAAACTTCCATATTAATATAGCCATATACTATAATAACAGAAGCAACTCTGAAAAATAAAAAGGATTTCAGCCTTCACCCCACAGGTCCTGTATATTTTGATTTAGAACAGACTTTTAACATTATTTCAACATTATGAAATCACATAAATTCAAGAAAATAACATTAGTTACCATATAAACATGTCAACCACTTCAACAAAATCCTCCTCCTTCATTTCAAAAGATTGTTCATTCAGCCAGATATGCTAAGTCTTATTTTAAAATAAATATATAGGCGGCAAAATTATAGACATATTTACATTTTCCAGCCGAAACCCCATACAATATGTTTCCTTACTTTTACATTGCAGTAGAAGTGGCCACATCTGCTCATCTTAGAAAGCAGATGGATGATCACATACTGTATCAACATATATATTTCAAGGTGAAATTTTAACTGCCTGGGTGTCACAGTTTAATTCAATATACCTGAAGGAGGAAGATTGGAATTTTAAAAAATTTCTGGAGTTAATTGATTGATGAATAACAGCTTCCAAGAGCAAACTTTTATTCATCTCATTTCATAAGCCCAAAACTGAAATCCACTTGGATTTCTTTAAGTCATCAAAAATGATAACTAAGGACAAACTCTACCTTCCACATTTAGTTTCCAGCATTTTTCTGGAATTTAAATTTATTGGCTGGATGTGTCCATAAGAGTCATTTCCATAAAACTACTTTTTAGCCCCAAGTCAAGAATGATTATTGGAAAATACTTTCCCTGTGTTTTTGTGAAGAACATTAATGATGGTGTGTCAGACAGTATTAACTGCTGATGCATATTTCACGGGTTCTAGCTACAGACATATTGGAAAAGGTTTCAGGCTGCAAAGATAATACTTTTGTAAACTTAACTATTGATGCAAACGCTTTAGTATCTTCTTTTCAGGAACTCACCCAATTAAAGAGATGTTTGCTATAAAGTTGCAATACAACTTAATGCACAAACTTGTCTGTAGCAAAAGTGGATGTGTGCAGATCCTAACTTACCGCAAAGTTACTTTCTTTTCTCACTTCTATATAGCTTAAATATTTTGGTTTTCTTTTACTCATACATCTATCTCCAGGAAGCACATAAATGTCAGCCATCTCAGCAACAGCCACTTAAAAGCAAACAACTGAATAAATTGCATAAATAAATGAAAGAGAAATTCAAGAGATTTAGGTTTTGCATCCACAAGAACCAATGAGAAGTACTCAATAAAAAGTTCTTAGACATACATTATTTTATGTCCTTCTTAAAGAATAATCCATTTTATTTTATATTTAGCACATGCCTATTTTTCCTATGTCATAACAGAATGCTAGAGAGTTTTATCTGGGTGAAATTATCAGCTCATTTAAAAGAACTTCAGTGTTTTATATGCAGAAGTATATGGAGGAATCGTCCCCAAACCCAGTGGGTAAAATGTGCAGCACTTGTACAGGTAGTCTGAGCTCCTATCGCAGTCCACATGTTGTAGCAGCAGCCATAGCACTCTACA